GCAGAGGCCGGGGCCGACGCGGCCAAGGAGGCCGAGAAGGAGCGCGCCACGCCCGTAAGTTTTGCCTCGCGCGCGCCTGGCGGTGTCCTCCTCCGACGCCTCCCCTGACTCTGGATCCGTGCTCAGATTGATTGTGTTGGCCTCCGGCCAGTGCCGCCGATCCGGGGGGCTTCCCGCTGCTGTTGGCAGCAGTCCTGTGCGTTCCTTCTCCTTCCCCCCAGCCTGTCATTTCTTTCCTCCCCTTCTTGGTCCTCCCCCGCACCTCCTTCGTCCGTATTACTTTCTCCTCTTTCCTTTTCCTGCTTGGCAAGCTCTTTCTATTTTCTGCCTTGGTTCCGGACCGCGAAAGGGTTCAGAACCAGTGATTTTCCGACTTAAGTTGCGTCGGGAGTGCGCACCAAACGACGCGGACAAGTAGGGCGAACGCTTCCGCCTCAGGAGAGCAGGGCAGGCATTTCCGCAGAGGTATGGCGGGAACAGCGACGGCAAAGCGGAGCAGAAGTCGGCACGGAAGGAGCTGACAGCATATAGGGCGGCAGTTCCTGCCGCGCTTGCGAGCTTGCTCAAGGCACGGCGGATCCGGAGCCAGCTGAGGCAAGGCCGGACGGGGGCGGCACAAGGTCCTGAGAAACCTGGAGCCCCGACGTGGCGAACGACTGGTGAGGCCACGGGGAACACCACGGCCAGAGTCCGAGGCCCCGCTTCTCTGCCGCATTGTTCTCGAGCCGCACCGATCCGTGATAGCCCTGGGGCCCGGAGCGCGGCGGGCACGCCCAGTCTGAGCAAGCTGCAACGCCCGGATCTCAGGGAAGCATGGGGGGAGGAGGAGGAGGAGGAGGAGGAGGAGGAGGAGGAGGAGGAGGAGGAGGAGGAGGAGGAGGAGGAGGAGGAGGCGGGAGGATGAGAGAGGAGGCGGAGGAGAGGTATAGGTGGAGAGGGATGCGAGGGCGTAGGAGGCGGCGAGGGAGTACGAGTAGGTAGTAGAGAGGGAGGAGGAGGAGGAGGAGGAGGAGGAGGTCCGTAGCCATTTTGGCTCAAGCCTGCCTGGGCGCGTGGCAGGAGGAGCGCGCCGTGCCTCTCCCTGTAGAGCCCTGTCATCTCGGCAGGCACAGAGAGCGGCTCAGTCTCTTTCCCCCTGCGCGCGCGCGGATCATGGCTACGGGGGGCGGCCGCACCAGCAGCTGGCTGCCCGGACCACTCCGTACCGACGAGGCGGCCGCCGCAGGGCCGTCTGCGGCTCGGCGCGCGGCCCGAGCGCGTGCCCGTCTGGCCTGCGAGGCGGCCCTCCGCAGGGCCCTCGGCAGCAAGGACCACGCGCCGGGGTCCTGGCGGGACCGCGAGGTCGCCTCGCGACCAGCGCTCCAGGCCCTTGCATCTCGCAGAAGGGTGCCAGGCGCCGCGCGTCGGAGGCGCAACGCGGCATGGCACGCCGCAGACGCCCCGGAGGGAGGCTTCACGCACGCCACCCAGGCTGCTCTTGCCAAGGCGGCGGCGGGCCCCCGCCTCGGACGGCCGAGCCTCCCTGGGGCCAATTACAAGTACATCGTCGTACATCGTCGTGGAGGTACCACAGGGCGGCTGGACCGCCTCGCCGCTGACACCTCTGAGTGGAGCCGCCGCAGAGGCCGCCCATCACGGCGCGCGGAGCGTGCCTGGCGTCGCCTACCCGACGGACGCCAACCTCTCCCAGGTGGCGGATCGGGCGCTCCGCGCGGCCGTCGCGCGCCGGAGCCGGGAATACGAGGACGACGGCTACGACGGCTACAACCACGGCGACCCCGACGGCTACGACGGCTACGACCACGACAGCTACGACCACGGGGACCCAGTCCAGTCCGAGGATGCGGAGGAGTCGCCCTTCGTGGAGGCGTTCGGGATGACGGAGGACGGCTACCACGACAACGGCGGCTACGATTGCACCGACGAGCGCGGCTACGTCGGCAACAGCGACCTCCGCTCCTACGACGGCTGGCGGCCGAGCCTCCGCCCCCCGCCCAGCAAGGAGGAGGTGGAGGACGAAATGCGGAGAGCACGAGCGCCCACTGAGAAGATAGAGTACGATTCCGACGCGGACCCAGAGGACCACGAGAGCTACGACGGCTGCGACTACGGCGGCTACGACGGCTACGACAGCGAGACCCACCAGGCGCTGCACCGCACGAGCAGGGAGCTTGATGGGGAGAGCGCGGTCGACAGCTTCGTCATACCAAGTACCCGCAGTGGATCGGCCTCACGGCGGGATTGGCCCCCCCAAAAGGGCCCCCCGAGTTACGACGGCTACGACTACGGCGAACACGACGGCTACGACAGCAAGACCCACCTTGCGCTGCACGGCACGAACAGGGAGCTTTGTGCGGAGAGCGCGCTCGACAGCGTCGCCATACCAAGTACCAGCAGTGGATCAGCTTCACGGTGGGGTTGGGCCCCCCAAAACGGCCCCCCGCCGTTCGAGACCAACGAGACGAGCGAGCAGAAGGCGCTGTACGGGCACGAACAGGGAGCTGGACAGGGAGCTGGACGGGGAGCTGGACTGGAGGAGAGCAAGCGGAGCAGCGGCGACGACCCCCCAGAGCCCCACAAGAAGGTGCGCTTCTGCTTGCACGAGGATGTGGATGGCCACTTCGAGGCGGAGAGGCGCCCGGGATCGTGAAGAACTCGTTCGGCGCCCCCCTGGAGGTGATCATCCGGCCAGGCCGTGCGCCGTGCTGCCTGACGCCCGCGGGCGCGGGCGCGCGCGGCGCCCGCTCAAGGGCCCTGTCGGGCCTCCCTCTTTTTGGGAAAACCTGGCCCCTCTCCCCTCTTCCGAGGTATTTGGTCCCTGGTCCTCTCTCTTCCTCGGGGTCGGGTTCCCGGGGCCGTCGTCTGAGTGCCCGCGCGGCCCTCGTGGGCTGCTGCGGCGCGCTCCGCGCCCCGGGCGCATGAGAAGACGCTGGCTGAGCGAGAAACGTAGAAACGTAGAGGGAGGAGGAGCCAGGGGGTGAGGAGAGGAGCAGGGTCCGGGCGGGGCCAGGACGAGGAGGAGCACGTTGCAGAGCGTTCCGGGCTGCTCTCAGAGCGCTCGGGAAGGCTCCGAGGAGGCCGCGGCATCCTCCGCCGCCGGATCTCCGAGAGTCTCGTTGTGTCCCTGTCTCTAGGCCTCCTAGATAGGGTCGGAGTAGATGGGGTCGAAGGATCGCTCCGCATCGCCGATGCATCGGCGATGCGGCTCGATGCGGAGACCGTGTTTCCCCACGCCGACGTCGCCGATGCATCGCCGACGTCGCCGACGTCGCCGATGCATCGCTGATGCATCACCGATACATCGGCGATGTATTGGCGATGCGGCGCGATCCTCCGACCCCATCTTCTCGGACCCCATCTAGGAGGCCTCTACTGTCCGAATCTGTCTTCGTCCTGGCCTCGCCGTGCAGGGGGGCAGAGCGATGACGGCACAGGATATCCAATCCTCGCAATAACCAGACAACACATCAAAGCATACAACAACACGGCATGATCAGCAACAACGGCAACAACAACAAGAAAAGCAGTAACACAATCAACAACAATAACGAATAATAACAACAACAACAACAACAACAACAACAACAACAACAACAACAACAACAACAACAACAACAACAATTACTAGCACGTGGGGACACTCCGTTCTCACCAGTGCCAGGGTTTTCATAGGAGGCGGGCAATACCCCCACTTTGTGGGGGGGCCGGTTCAAGCTCTACCAAATTTCCAAACGACTCTTCGCCACCACCCACACCCAGCTTCCCGCCCTATGACGTTCGGACACTTCACTTCGTGGCATGCGGACGACCGTGGCTACTATTCAGGGCCCCGCGGCCGACGACGACGGCGTGCGCGCGCGAAGAAAAAACGAATGTGTCCCGCATGGTATTATTTGACAGGGATGATGGCCCTGGCAGGTGCGCAACCGTTGTTGCAGAAGTTCGAAAAAGTTGCTCGCAAAAGCCCGTTTGACAGAAATGTTTAAAAAGTGTTGGGTTTCCTACGAATCCGCAAGAGCGCGCGGGATGAAATTTTGACATTTTTTTTTTTGAAAAACCATTGGTTTTTTATGTTTTTATTGTTAAAATCGCTACGAAAACTAAGGTTTTGGAAGGATTTCGTCTGCGCGCGCGAATGTCCACTTTACCTTATTTTTTGCAAGGGATTCTTGAAGTTTGGATATGTTAGAACAAGAAATGTTCCACTTTAGCTTATTTTTGCAAGGGAAAGCGGGCGTCAACAAAACAACCGGATCTGGATGACATCGTTTTACCTGAGACTTCCTCACGAAAATGATGAAAACGTGGCTGCGGCCTAGGCGCGGCGGGGGGGCATGCACCAGGGGTCCCAACAATAATTATTCTTAAGAAGAAATAATGTTCAACAACAACAACAACAACAACAACAACAACAACAACAACAACAACAACAACAACAACAACAACAACATCATCATCAACAACAACAACAACAACAACAGCAGCAGCAACAACAACAACAATCATCTTAATATTGTTCGCTCTTGTCTGCTCGCGTGCCGTTCAACACGTACGTTCCCAAACTCTCGATACCCGCCCACTTCGTCTTCGATCGTACCCCCTTGGGGGTATGCCTTTCGTACCTGCAACGTGTATTCCATGCAGCCCCTACAGCAGGGGAAGAGAGGACGGATGGAAGAAACGGACAAGGGGGAGGGAGGAGGATGGAGCACGACAGAGAGAGAGAGATAGAGAGAGAGAGAGAGAGACTAGCAGGAGGGGGGCCAGGATCAGAAAACGTGTGGCAGAAACAGACGGGCAGATCGGGCGGGTAGACTCTAACGGGCGGGTCGGGAAGGCGGGCCCAGGCGGCCAGGTCGAGCAGGCGGGTTGCTGAAGCGTGCGTCCTGCATGAATCGCAAGGAAATCTCGAGCGATAGCGCGATTCCGAAGTATCGTGAGATAGGCCACAGCGAGAGCGTGATTCCTGAGTGCCGAGGGCGCGGCGTGATTCCTGAGTGTCGAGGGCGCGGCGTCTGAATAAATTCTGAGGAAGTCTCACGCGAGAGTGCGACTTCTGCCTAAATTGTGAAGACGTCCCGCGCGAGAGCGCGATTTGGGTATAACTTGTGAGGAAGTATCAGGTGGGAGCCATACTCATTGTAAACCGGGGGCCAAAGGCACAATTCTGAGACCCAAGACTTTCCGCTGGTTTCAAACAGGGAGCGAGCCCCGGGAAGGGCACTCCAACTGAAAAAACACCATGTGCCCCAGAGCGGGGGATCAGCAATAATTATTCTTCAGCAGTGAGAGTTCAACAACAACAGCAACAACAGCAGCAATAACAACGACGACGACGACGACGGCGACGACAGCAACAGCAACAGTGACAGCAGCAACAACAACCACAACAACAACAACAACAACAGCAGCAGCAACAACAACAACAACAACAACAGCAGCGACAGCAACAACAGCAACAGCAGCAACAACAACAGCGACGACGACAACAACAGCAACAACAACAAAACATAAACATCCCCCCCGTCCCGGCAGGGTCGTCGGGCCGCGTCGCCACGGGCGGCAGTGTCCCGAGCGTCGCTGGGCCCAGGGCGCGGGCAGGCCCGGGCGGAGCTCGAGCGGCGGTAGCAAGTCGTGGGAGCCTGGCGTACCCTGTCAACCCCCGCCTCTAGCGTCGATGTAGCGCCGGCTGGGGTCTGGCAGTCGGCGAGATAGCGCCACTTTCGCGTCGGCTTGCGTCGATCTAGCGCCGATTTGGCGCCGAGGAGCGTCGACGAGCGTCGACTCGCAAGAGCCGACCAGATGGTACGGGAGGCCCCTGTGAGTTGCCGCTGAGCCTTCGCGACCTGTGGCCCGACGACCCTCTGGGTGCCCTGAGATCCCGGCGTGTTTTTTTTTTTCACCACCGGCGCGCTCGCTCCATTTCGGGCCCCGGGGACCCTCACAGTCCGGAGGGGAAAAAACACACAGACACAATTCATCGTCGACTTTCCAGGAAAGTGAGGGAAAAGATGGGAAGTGGGGGGGGAGACAGAAACCCAGAAAATATGGGAAAACAGGGGGAATCCGGTTATTTGTGTGTATTTATTTGTGTGTCCCAGGGCCCCTTCACACAGATCGATGCGGCTCGAAAAATGAGGCAGAGAGATCGGGTCCGGGCCTCCGGCCGCGATTTTTGCTGCGATGCTGTAATTGTTTTGGCAGCGTCGGATCTCAGGGTGCCTGGGGGATCCGCCGGCCGTTGTGTGGGGAGGCCCGTCGTGCGGCGCTCCCTGAGCTCATGAGCCCCCTGCCCTCCAGGAGTGGGACGGGACGCCCCCGGCCGAGTGGCCGGAGGACGGCATCTTCACCATGGAGATCGGGCGGGTGGCAAGGGGGGGTGACCTGCGGGGGGAAGGAGACGGCCCTACAGGGGCCCTATGGGCGGCCCCCTTTGGGCCGCCGATGTCTTCAAAGGGGGCCCTTCGGTGCCCTTTTAGGTCACCCCCCCCGCACCACCCGCTGGAGGAGAGCCTGGCGAAGTTCGACGGCAGGAGTCAGCCGCTCTGCCTGGCGATCTGCGGCAAGGTTCGGGGGCGCTGGCGAGGGAAGTCGGGGCGGGAAGAGGAGGAGGAGGAGGAGGAGGAGGAGGAGGAGGAGGAGGAGGAGGAGGAGGAGGAGGAGGAGGAATGGGGAAGGGGTAGGCGGAGGGGGAGGACGGAGGAGGAGGAGGAAGAGGAGGAGGAGGAGGAGGAGGAGGGAGGAGGAGGAGAAGAGGAGGAGAGAGGAGGAGGAGGAGGAGGAGGAGGAGGAGGAGGAGGAGGAGGGAGGAGGAGGAGGAGGAGGAGGAGGAAGGAGGAGGAGGAGGAGGAGGAGGAGGAGGAGGAGGAGGGAGGAGAGGAGGAGGCGGAGGAGGAGGAGGGGAGGAGGAGGAGGAGGAGGAGGAGGAGAGGAGGAGGAGGAGAGTAGGAGGAGGAGGAGGAGGAGGAGGGAGGAGGGGAGGAAGAGGAGGAGGAGGAGGCGGAGGAGGAGGAGGAGAGGAGGAGGAGGAGGAGGAGAAGAGGAGGAGGAGGAGGAGGAGGAGGAGGAGGAGAGGAGGAGGAGGAGGAGGAAGAGGAGGAGGAGGAGGAGGAGGAGGAGGAGGAGGAGGAGGAAGAAGTCACGCACCGAAGGTCGCTCTTGCCTGGGGTCCAGACTTCCGTCTTGGGGAGGGCGCCGCGGCCACCAGGGCAGTAACGCCTAGGGCGCGGGGCTTGCCGTGGGTTTGCCTTCGGTTTGCCGTGGTGTCGGCGTCGTCCACCTTGGGCGCGTCCGGAACCAACGGCGCGGCGACAGATCTTATTTTTGAAAGGAGGAGGGAGGGAAGGGAGGAGGGAGGATGGGGGACAGAGGAGTGGGGAGGGGGGGTTGGGACGAGGAGGAGGACGAGGAGGAGGAGAGGAGGAGGAGGAGGACGAGGAGGAGGACGAGGATGGAGGAGGAGGAGGAGGAGGAGGAGGAGGAGGAGGAGGAGGAGGAGGAGGAGGAGGAGGAGGAGGAGGAGGAGGAGGAGAACGGAGGAGCGATGATGAGGAGGGGAGCGAGGAGGAGGAGGAACGAGGAGGAGAAAAGGAGCACGAGGAGGAGGAGGACGAGGAGGAGACGATGGAGGAGGAGGAGGGGGGAGGAGGAGGAGGAGCAGGAGGAGGAGGAGGAGGAGGGAGCAAGAGGGGACGACGGAGGGAGAGAGAGGATGGGAGGAGGGAGGACGAAGGAGGAGGAAGGAGGAGGAGGAGGAGGAGGGCGGAGGAGGTGAGGAGGAGGGAGGGAGGATGGGAAGGAGGGAGGAGGGAGGAGGAGCGAGGGAGGAGGGAGGAGGAGAGGAGGGAGGCGGAGGAGGAGGAGAGATCCTTCTCTGGAAAGGATGAGGCAACTGCGACGAGCGCGTTGTTGTGGCTCCGGCTCTGCGGCCCACCCACGGGCGGCCGCCCGCCGCCCGCCGGCGCGCCGTTTGCCGTGCCCCCGCGCGCCCGTGTTTTTTTGCTGCGTGCCGGCGCTCGCGCGGGCGCCCAGCAGGGAAGAGCGCGAGCGCGCGCGCGCGCCCGCCCTGCGCCGCGCCCGCGCTGCGCCGCGCCCGCGCTGCGCCGCGCCCGCGCTGCGCCGCGCCCGCGCTGCGCCGCGCCCGCGCTGCGCCGCGCCTGCCGCGGATCCCGTCGCCTGGCCGCCCTTTCCGCGGCTGCTTCCCCAGACGTGCTCGCGCCGCGGAGGCATCGCGCCGCGGAGGCATCGCGACGGTGTCCTCGCTGGGCCCCGGGGCCGTCCAGCAGCGGCTCGGGACGAAGAGCTGGCCCTGGGGAAGAGGTCGATCGAGACTTCGAGGGGCCTCGCACGGATAAGAGCCAGCCATCGGACGTCTGGGTCTCCACCCGCCCTTCCAGCCCCCCCAGACCCCCGACGTCGTGATTTTTTCACGACGTCGACCCCCAGAGGTCTGGACCCTTTCCCCTGGACCGGTTTTTCGTCCCGAGTCGTTTTTTGACGCTCCCGAGGCCCAGGGAGGGCCCCCGGAGGCCGAAAATAGCGAAAAACCTCCCGTCGTGATTTTTTCACGACGCGAGGAGGTCTGGGCCTATAGCAGCCCCATGGCCCCCCTACGAGATCCTGGCGTCGCGGTTCTGTCGGCACCGGGCGACGTCTCCCTCCCGCGGGCCCTCGCGGCTCGAGGCGGCTCCGGGCGTGCCGCGGCATGGCGTCGGCGTCGCCCCAAGGTGCTCGTGCAGTACGGTGTGTGCGCCGCCCCCCCCCCCCCGGGGGCGACGCGCGCACCGAGATGGGGCCCTGCAGGGCCCCAGGGCCCCCGCGTCGTGCTCCTCTTGGGTGAAGTCGGGCCTGTCCCTCCACAGGCCGGGGGAATACTCCCAAGCAGTCAGACAAATAGTCTGGGGACTGTTTTGGGGGGCATTTAGGGGCATCTTCTGAGCATTTTTTTTTTTTTTTTTTTTTTTTTTTTTTATATTTCGATTTTTTCGTCCAAAATCCCCTTGAAGTGCGGGACCCAGAGATCCGATGTCGTGATTTTTTCAGTGCGGGGTCCCCAGAAGTCTCGACCCATCCCCCGGGGCCGGTTTCTCATCCTGAGCCGTTTTTTGACGGTCCCGGGGCCAGGCGAGGGCCCCCAGAGGCCGAAAACAGCGAAAAACTCGCCGCCCTGATTTTTTTTAACGACGCGGTCATGTCTGGGAGGACGTCCCCCCCCCAATCTGGTCCTCGCCCCCCTCTGCTGGCCGCCCCCGAGGCCGGGGCGCTGCCATGCACTCCCTCCGCCGGGCGCCCCCGCCGCATGCGCTCTCGAGGGCCCCTCGAGGCCGAAAAATACGAAAAACCTCCGTCCACATTTTTTCGTTACGTCGGATCTCTGGGGACCCAGACCCCCTCGAGCAATGAAAAAATCACGACGGGAGGTTTTTCGCTATTTTCGGCCTCCGGGGGCCCTCACCGGGCCTCGGGAGCGTCAAAAAACGACTCAGGATGCAAAGCTGGTCATGGGGAAAGGGTCGGGACCTCTGGGGGTCGACGTAATGGAAAAATCATTACGTCGGATCTCTGGGGACGGGCCCAACCTAACCCTTGGGTCGCCGCGCGCTCCTGCCCGGGGCGCCCGCCCTCCGGGCCTCCGGGGGGGCCCCCGCCCTGGCCGGGGCCCCGCGCAGGGCCGCCATCTGGCCTCGCGGCGCCGGGCCTCGGCGGGCCTCCTCCCCAGAGGTCCGATCGCGTCGTGAAAAAATCACGACGGGAGGTTTCTTCTATATAGAAGAAACGGGGGTTTGGGGAGGCAGCACATATATATATATATATATATATATATATATATATATATAATATATATATATATATATTTGCTGCCTCCCCAGACCCCCTCGAGTAATGAAAAAATCACGACGGGAGGTTTTTCGCTATTTTCGGCCTCCGGGGGCCCTCACCGGGCCTCGGGAGCGTCAAAAAACGGCTCAGGACGCAAAGCCGGTCATGGGGAACGGGTCGGGACCTCTGGGGGTCGACGTAATGAAAAAATCATTACGTCGGGGGTCTGGGTCTGGGGGCCCTTCCCGGGCCTCGGGACCGTCAGAAAACGGCTCAGGATGCAAAAGCGGTCCCGGGGAAGAGGTCGGGACCTCTGGGGGTCGGCGTCGTGAAAAAGTCACGACGTCGGGGGCCTGGGTCCCCCGAGAGCCAACGCAACGACAAAATCAGGACGGAGGTTTTGCGTATTTCTCGGCCTCCGAGGGGCCCTCGCCGGGCCCCAGGGCCGTGAGAAAAGGGATATCCAGGACGAGAAGCCGGTCCCGGGGAATTGGTCGAGATTTCTGGGGGCCCAGACCCCCGACGTAATGATTTTTTCGTCACGTCGACCCCCAGAGGTCCCGACCTTTTTTCCCCATGACCGGCTTTGCCTCCTGAGCCGTTTTTTGACGCTCCCGAGGCCCGGCGAGGGCCCCCGGAGGCCGAAAATTAGGCAAAACCTCCCGTCATGATTTTTTCGTTGCTCGAGGGGGGCTGGGGCCCCCGCATTGACAAGAAATCGCGACCTCGGATCTCTGGGTCCGAGCGCACCCCGCGCGTTGCCCTGCGCCCCGGCGCGCCTGCGCGCGGCCTGCCTCGGGCGCTCGGCAGAGGAGGGGGGGCGTCGAGGGTTGCACGAAAGGGGCCCCAGATCTGCACGAACGAGATGGGCACGGAAAGAATCCCAGACCCCCTCGAGTAATGAAAAAATCATGACGGGAGGTTTTTCGCGATTTTCGGCCTCTGGGGGCCCTCACCGGGCCTCGGGAGCGTCAAAAAACGACTCAGGATCACAAACCGGTCCTGGGGAAGGGGTCGAGAACTCTGGGGTCGACGTAGTGAAAAAATCATTACGTCGGGGGTCTGGGATGGGTACAATGCCCAGCAGCAGTTCCTGTTCATTTTGAGCAGGACTCGCTGTCCGCGCCGCCGCGCCGCGGCCTGTATCTCAGAAGGCCGCCTGCCCAACAGCGGCCGCTGCTGGTTTGGGACAGCATGTGTTGTTGGGCATTGTACCCGTTCTTTCGGTACCCATTTCGGGTGTCCAAACTTGCAGGGGCCCTGAACGAGCCCCCTACCCAGACCCCCGACGTCGTGATTTTTTCACGACGTCGACCCCCAGAGGTCTGGACCCTTTCCCCTGGACCGGTTTTTCGTCCCGAGTCGTTTTTTGACGCTCCCGAGGCCCGGGGAGGGCCCCCGGAGGCCGAAAATAGCGAAAAACCTCCCGTCGTGATTTTTTCACGACGCGAGGAGGTCTGGGTAGAGGGCCCCGACGGGGTACGAAAGGTGCACGAAAGGTGCGCTGGCTGACAGCGTGCGCCCGGGGCCCGGCGCTCGCCCGAGGCGTGGGCGCGCCCGGAGGTCCATGGCGCCCCCAGGCCTCGGGCGCCCCGAAAGCATCGGGATACGCGTTGTCCAAACACACTTTTTCAGCAGCATCGTCAATGTTTCGAGCCGCCGAAATCCCAGACCCCCTCGAGTAATGAAAAAATCATGGCGGGAGGTTTTTCCTAATTTTCGGCCTCCGGCGGCCCTCGCCGGGCCTC